TTTTTTTTTTTTTTTTTTTTTTTTTTTTTTTACATAATTCCAATACTTTCTCAAAATGTATAATTGCATTATTTTAAAATAACGTTGCAAAAAATGCTACAATATCCGGAAAGGAAAATATGAAAGTATTACTTAATGAGACATCTTACGTATTGCAGAATTATTTTCAGCAAATTAGTATTTACATTTTATCTATTGTATCTATTTTATCTGTTTCATTGTGATTGTTAATATTTTCTACAGATACTTCAAATTATTTTTAGTATTTTTAGAAAAATTTTATTGACAGAACAAGAAGGTTTTTGAAAACACGTTTTATTATATTGACGTTCTTTATGTAGCAAAATTTTATGAAATAATTGAGAGCAAATTTTTAGTAGGAATTACGGTACGATCCATTTAGGTTGAGCAGTAGCTATAGAGTAAGCAACTCTAAATAGTAAATGCTCCAAACGTTTAATAAATACATTTCCTATTACATTCCTAATAAAGATAATTATTTCAAAAGCCTTCAAGAGGAACCGGTATCATATAATCATATAGTTATACGAGGTATAAAAATATACTCCGTTATATCATTTCACTTATAAAGATAACTGTTTTTAAAATTTTTAAAAGGATAGCTTTATCTGACGAAACGATGAACTTTTTTTCAATTGCTACTTATAATCGAACATTTTTACATACACTCATAGGGCATGTGATTGATTAATTTGATTTCTTCAGCCATGTTCTTGTTACCGAAAAATTTGATTTTAAATGAAAAACATTAAAAAAAAATTTGAAAATTATCAATAATAATGAACAATAAATAACGATGATGTGTTTACGTTATACTTTCATATTGTGCCATTTATTTTAATCTACTGTATTTATTTTTTTAGCTGGCATGTGCTCTTACCGCTATGTGTTAATAGCATAATACAGTTACAGAATATAGGTTATATTAATACATATGCATCCTACGTAATGTTATTTTGAAGAAATTTAATTATATAATTTACTTTAAAGAATGAATGAGTTGAATTAATTAAAGATATATTTGTTATTTTTGAAATATTTATAAATAATTATTAAAGATTTTTTATTTTATATATATTAGATATAATTCATCGTATGAATCGTATGAATCTTCAAATTGCTTGGAATATTTATGATGACTGGATCGATAAATGTACTTCAATATTATTAATTAAAGTATAATGGCACGAACAATGTTGTTATTATTTATAATACTATTATGGAAAGAATTGCATGAAAAAAAGAAAAAAAAAAGAAAAAAAGAAAGAATACATTATAGTCTGTGGTAAGTGTAAGAAACTAATTTTCAAGAGTTTGAACTTACAGGATAACATCGCACAAACGGATAAATGTGATTTATACCGTACGAACGGCAATCCTCCGTTAATAAATACAACGATTTACATATTACTTTTTATCGAGAATTATAAGGATTTTACTTTTTAAAATTAAATTCCTTACAAACGTTCGTATTTAAGGCATTGAACGTTCAATAAGGGCTGGACTTGCCGGCGCGATAGGCTCGTAGGGACGAATTTTTTTCGCAAGAATTGGCAATGTGAAGCGTCGACAAACAATTTCGCCGCAATACAACGAAAAATTGAAAATAACATTTTGAAAATAAGATTGCCCGTTTCTTCAACAACTTACTCCTTAAATTAATATACTGGGTCAATAAATAACGGGAAGGCGATTTGAATATCTTTTCAAGGAATTGGGATTGTTGTATTTCGGGCCGGTAATTGCACAAGGCGATGGCGATGTTTAACTGCCCCATAAATTAAAAGTGAAGCAAAACGAAAGCACTTAAGAGACTTACACGAGCAAACACTTAAAGTGTCGGCGATTATCATGGAGACGAGCGATCCATTTTGAAAAAGTCCCGCAATAAATTAAACTCACGTAGCTGAGCAAAAGTGCTCGCCCGTAAGAGCGAGGAAGAGCGATAAACCCGCACCTGAGAGTAAAACAAAGCCCCAGGGCGCGGATAAGCCCTCTCGCATGCTAACGAGCCTATTGTCCGCGCATTCCGGACTAAGCGACGATGACGTCCGTGACCATGGCCGCGATGGGAAATCTGTGTCAGCTCGGCCCATCCGCTCGGTCCCTTTCACCGGCGTCTCACCTATACCTCGGCGCCGGCCGCGAGACAGCCCGATTGTCATTCGAGCCGCGCACGTGCGCGAGATCCCGCGAGGTCTCACCATTGCCAGGATCATCGGCAGTCTGCGGGTCTTCGAGCTCAGGGGCCAATAAGCCCAGATGGGGCCTGTACCGGCGTTACGTTGAGGCGAAGGTCCGCGACTCTGTGACTCTTCACCATGAATGAGTCGAGTATTATCGAGAATACCGTTAAACCAGATATTTAACTCTATGGTTTAAGCGCTGAAATGATGAAAAATCGAAATTGAAAAAAGTGGACAAGGAGAGAAGATTTCTGGCTGCTTCTTTTACCATTTTACAGGCGTTTACATCGAATGTTTCTGAATTCATGAAATTTTCAGGCAATCGCGTTACGCAGTGTTTGTATATTTATTAATTTCACTGGGCTATCGCGTGAGAGAGATATAAGAAATATTAGATCGAAGATTAGAAACTCGGACTTTTTTGTAACTACTGGTAGTTGGAAAATGGTTTAATAGTCTCGTTGGAGGCACATTGTGATTAAACGCCTATATAATAAATTATAGCGACAAATTGGCCGCACAAAATGAAAATACTTTTTTTTTCTTTTATATATATATATATATATATATATATATATATATATATATATATATATATATATATTATATATATAGCGCGAATTTACGTATACGGCAAGTATACCTACTTTAATATCGCAACGAAAATAACGAAAATAAAAGGAGATAATAAACTTTTCGAAAAAATCAATGAGATCTTGTTTTACGGTACTTGTAATGATGCTTCATTCCTAGTGATAAAATAATTTAATGTTTCGCTTGAATAAGACAAATTAATAATTGTCTTGTAGACAATTTGATCAATTGCCTGTTACATATAAATATTGAAATATTTTGCAATTATAATTAACGGGGCCACGTTCTCGGTATTTTCCAGACAATTTTCTTTCTTCGTATTGCTACAGTTTTGAAGAATCATTATTATTATAATTTTTATTCAAAAAAAAAAAAAAAACATTTTATTTAACTGGAATGTGATAATGCATTTCCTCCCATTAGATTAGCAACGCGATTGAAATTTATACGCTTTATACAGAAATGTGCAAATGTTCGTTGGTGAAAATGGAAAATAGTGTAAAGCGATTAATCAAAATAATATCCAGCAATTATCGAGCAATTTGTTAAGAATTTTGTAAAGAAAAGAAAAAGTCATTCTTCATCGGGCAGCCCATTTCTCAAAAGTTTTTTTCTATCGAGTCGACTCGGAGGAGGCGATCGATCATAAGAGTCATCGGCTTTAGATATCGCTGTACGAAGCTGGTTTATCCTCATTTTCACAATGGCACAAGTTATAAATGAAAGAATGTGGTGAAAATGATTGAAAGAGTGATGCGCGGATAAAGGAGGCTCGCACGGGAAGTTAAAAAAACATAAGATTTCCGTGCAATCGTCGTCGTCGCGTGCGTAGCGCATGCATCTCTCCTCGGTAAGTCTTGGACGCGAAAGCGATGACCCACTACCGGAGCTCGTGGCGTGCCTTTAGTGACGTAATAATCTTCGTTAACGGTACCCTTTCCTCATTATAGATACCTCGCGTGCCGCAATCCCACAGCGCCGGAGATCCTACCAATATGCCTTCCTGCCTTACAGCACAGTTTGTAATGGTCTTCTCCTCGATGCATTATCGTCGACTTTGTTATTTTCCATTCGAGCGATTGGTAAGGCGAGCCCTGGGCGGATGTTCGGCGAACTCGTTTATTATTATTCGCTGCAGGAGATGCGACGTTTTCGAAGCACATACGTATAAAGAATATAATATAGTTTCTCTTCCGTCGCTGCATCATAAACAAGCAATTTCTTCAAGCATCATTGTACAAAAGGGATTAATGAGGGAGCTTTGCTCGAAAGCCAATAATTTTAGAATGTCGAAAATTATCGAATATTAGCCTGTCATTTGTGTATGCCTGTTTTTTTTACTCAATTTTTTTACTTAAAAAAATTCTATAAAATTTATCGATGTAGGGCAAACGATAATTATCTTGGAATATTATAGTTTCGATATATTTTCATATAATGAGCATTCAAAGTGATAACAGAATTGAGTAAAATTTATGGAATTACAGCGGTTAAGTAGTAACATTATTTCTTGTAGGAATCGTAAGATGCAACATTGTTAAATACGCATCATTCAATGTACGAGTCATTAAAAATCAATCCCAAAAATGTATTTCAAGTAGAACGTGCAATTACTCAAGTGCTATTATTACGATACTGCAACGCCTGTAATGATTACGATTTGTTCGTTTGTGCGTGTATGACGGTAATTGCAATGAAAATATTAAAAGGAAAAAAAAAAAAAAACAAACAAATAACTTTGTTGTTATCGATATTTGTTGTGGTTATTCTGACAGCATAATGTTTTTATTTTACTTTTATCGCTTTTAACGATTGAAGCACCGTTACAATTAAACACAAACAGTATTTTCAATAGTAAATTAACATTTGTATTTGTATGAAAAACATTCCGTACTGGTGAAAAAATAGTTTAACTGTATACATAATGTGAAGGATAATGATTGAAATTACCAGCATTAAACCTAAGTTTTAGTTTAAAGCGATAATTTGGACCTGAAGAGCAAATTTCAGTTAATCTTGACAATAAATTATGAGAAAAAATAGAGAAAAAATGCTCAATCATTTAGTTTGCCGAGTACTCTATGAAAATCAGTATCCTCCACAATGACATTATAATACTATTACGACCTGTTTTAACAAATATTCAACGCTCACAACGAACTACTTTTTCTTTTTTCTTTTTTTTCTCCACTTTTTCAGTATCAAGATGTTATCAATGATTTTGACAACTTTACTGCTCGCCAATACTGCGGTATTGGGCATCTCGGCAGAATTTCTCACGGGCGGATCCTTACTAGACAATAAGAATGCTGAGGTAACGGATGACGCGGCGGCCTTCTCGCACTTAATTATCGCAAGAACGGCTGATAATGACGACCTGGATCTCATAGCCGAAGAAAGCGCCGCTAATGTTGCCTCCACGCCCTATCCGGACCAAGAGCCGAGGTACAACACAGCCACGATTACTCTCTTTTGCCTTCAATTTTAATCGCTTCCTTTGAATTTTTCAAAGCGACGTTTTTATCTTCCTTAACAAAGCGCCCTTTATTTATTAAATGCTCCAATGAAAAAAAAAAAAAAAAAAAAAAAAAAAAAAAAAAAAAAAAAAAATCGACAAACATATTACATTCACGAGCGAGCTCTAATTATTTTTCATACTTAAACGCTACTTAATAGTTAATTCTGCAATAATATATAACGGTTGTCGCGCAACATTTTCCCTATAACGTTAATCAATCCTTTCGCATAAAAATGTTATCGCTTGGAATTTAGACATAAATATAACGGATGTTTCGGAGCTATTGAGTTAAGTTGTCTCTCTAGAAAATAAACGTTTGATCGGTAATATGGGATTCATGGGAAATTGTAGGTATAAATTGCCGTACGCGTATGCGTTCAACGGTGGCAAACCCTTTTCCCTTGAAAAGGATCCGATCACTGGGAAAATCGACTTTGAGAAGACACCGCCACTCAAAGCCCTCAACTTCACCGATACATACCAAGGCGACGAGGACGAGAGCATGCATATTGACAGTCAGTCGAAACTCGAAGAACAGTACCCGTACGGCAAGATCGGCTACCTGGACGGCAAGCGCGTTGTTGCCAGCAACTCGAAGAACGAACGTGTCGGGCCCAACGAGATAAATCCTTACTCGCCGAGCTTTCACGACTTCCTGAATCTGCCGGTACGTTACAGCTCCGAGAAATACGAGCGGGACAATTATCCCCTTATATCGAGCTCCTACGCAAATACCAAAGTGCAGAGCGGCTCGAATAGCTACAACATTAACAATCACCGACCTTATCATCAGGAGACGGCAACCAAGGTACTCATTCTTTTTCACTTAAAAAATTTGACTTTCTCTTTCTTTCTTAAATTGCATCCACGTATGAATAACATTGGTTAACACATATTGAAACGATAGCATTACGAGTATATTGTATTTTAATTCTCTCTCTCCCTCTATCTGTTTTGTTGTTGTTGTTGTTGTTGTTGTTGTTGTTGTTACTTATTTAACCGAGAAATTAATTTAGTTAAATTGATAAAGTAAACTACTGGTAACATTTTATTTGTCTACGTGTCTTTAAATGTCAAGGTATCGATCAGTACAGCAACACGAAAGGTCTACTATCCAAAGACTACGAGTACATCTGCAACAACCACGACAACTACTACGACAACAACGAGGCCGAAGACCACACCAGTAACTACATCGACAACGACATCGACAGCGAGGCCAATAGATAAAAAAAAAACAACAACGACAAAACCCACCAAAGCGCCAACGACTATAGCGAGTACTGCGAGGCCAACGACCACGACGACAACGACAACCCAATTACCGGTAACGCAACCTAAAATTACCACGTGGAAGCCATCCAAGAACACCAGTCATTACGATGAATACGAGGACATTTTACCAATTGAGAAGCTACAGGGCATAAAAAATAGTGCACCCAGCAAATTTGGGTACGTACTTATAGAGTAAATTTATTATTTTAATTAGCAGAATTATGCCGATAATGATCTACGGACAATCTCGGTATATAATGACTTTTCACAGATTAATCAATAAATCATTCGTTGTAATCCCATTCGATTGGTTTTCAAAGCAAACGACTCTACTTTATCTCAAGAACTTGGAGATACAATCTATCGTGTCAATTTCACTTAAATAACAATTTTATTTAAACTTTGCCAAATTTATTATTATTATTATTATTATTATTATTATTATTATTATTATTATTACTATTACTACGAATATTCTATTTGGGCTAGCCTTAAAACCATTAAACGTTTAATGAAACATACTCTGTGGTCGTTAAGCGAATATATTATTACTATTCTTGAAGTTCTTGAAGGTACACATACTTGTATGATTTAATCAATGTAATTTATAAGTAAAATGACAAATGAATAAAGAAACAATATATTTAATTGACGACAAAAAAAATAATTCACTAGAGCCTAAGCGACAGCGAAATTGTATTGATTAAAAAACGAAAACAATGCGATAATATAATAATGGCTTATAGTTATCATGTAGTGACATCACGAGTTGCCCTTCCTATAAAATCCTTCTACGAAACTCTTAACTCTTATCGATCCATAGATCGACGATGAATCAGGATTTGAATGGCCATAACAATGGGCCGCAGAGTCCGTCGAGGCCGACTCCACAGTCAACGTACCTCTACAGCGACGATTACGACGACTATTACCCTTTCTCCGACGAGACAACTCACGATAATGGCTACCAGCAGCATCAGTTTTCTCATCACAATGAGTTCGCGCACCGTACGGAGATGAAAAATCCTCCTCCAGCGGCATCCAGCGCGTCGCCATCACCACCACCATCGACAACCACAGCGCCGACAACAACGACAACGATGACGACAACGACGGCGAAGGCTTTCGCCCACCTCTCGACGACGTCGAGCGTGGGTGGGGCCGAGACGTCGACCCTCGTAACATCGTCATCCTATCCGAAACAGCAATCTTTATCGAGCATTCACTTGACGACTGCCAAGCCCGCGATGCTTTCCGTTCAGCAACAGCCACCGGCCACGTCGATGCCTCTCGACAGCGGCAACAATCCTTTGCTCGTCCCTCCTGTGCACGAGAATTTTGTCGAAGGTCACAGGCCCATTGAATACTACAATACAAATAACAATAACAATAACATTCTACATTCGACGATACATTTCGGGGCGAATGCGTACAGTAGGCCAGGAAGCGTAATTAGCGTGCTGCCTGAAAGCACCAGCAACGTGATCGTTCCCCATGATCAGGACACGGTATCCTTCGTATTAGGCAATAGACAGAACGTTGAGGGGAGTTATTATACTCTCGGTACAGCAATGGAGGAACATCCTTATGCACCAAATGGCAATGAGAATAATTTCAGACCAATGTTCGCGACGGTAAGTTCGACACTGACTTTTTTCTCACTGTAGATTAAAAACAATTTAGTATTAACAATATATCTGAGCCTATTTTGCGTTACTCTATTTTATTTCTATAACCATAAGAGCGTAGTTTGCAATGCCCGTAGCATTAAGGTGAAATGATGAAACTTTTGCATTGGTTGCAAACGTACGTTTTGAAATTATGAATATATAGTAAATTTCTTAAAATAATTATATAAATAATTATATGAAATAATAATGTGGACAGATTAATATTAATTATGTAATATAGGGTAGCTTGAAACGTGATATCCATAATTAAAATAATGTACAAGTCTCATAAATACGATACTCTATGCTTAAAGGGTTCGAATGCTCAACAAACGAACGTAGATAAAACATTCTCGGCCGCTCTACCCTCGGTGGCTGTTGTAGAACCATCGTCACAGTCCGAATATAATCCATCCAAGTGGTACAATTCTAATCCAATGCAAACGGACTCGATGTCGGACACCGAGGCTCAAACGAAATCTCAATCGTCCTTCGTCTTTCCATCGACTTCGGCTAATGACAACAGTAGCAACAAGCAAAACGATAAATCGCAAAGCGAGAAAGTCTCTGGATTCGTCGCCTTTCCCGAGAACAGCCAAGACAAACAACTCGAGCAAAATCAAACTCCAATGCAGCGACCAGTCGAGGAGCACATTATTATAATTAATCAAGCCGATGGTACAATCAAAGAGATTACGCCAAATGGTTTGAACAATCCCGCCGATAATTCCATTCTACTAGGTGGCAACAACAACAACAACAACAACAACAACAACAATATGATTAACAACATGAATAACAACAACAACAACAACAACAACAACAACAACAACAACAACAACAACAACAACAACAACAACAACAACAACAACAACAACAACAACAACAACAACAACAACAACAACAACAACAACAACAACAACAACAACAACAACAACAACAACAACAACAACAACAACAACAACAACAACAACAATATGATTAACAATCATGGCAGTAACAATCTTCAAAAACTACCGCAATTAGCGGAAAGTCTGACACCGCCAGCTGAGAGTCGACCCCCCAGGTAATATGGATTCCTACATTTTGCCCATAACAATTTTGATTTTTGATCGCGATTAAAACGATGTTTAATGAATTCTTGCCACTCGCTTATCCCTAGGCCGCCTACCGGAGCCATCAGTCAAAGACCCCCCTACTATTTCCACTATCAACACGGAAATGGGATTTCGGGCAAGCCTTTGGAGTATCCACCACGTCCTCAACGGATACCGCTACCACCAAGACAAAAGCCCGAGCTTCCATCCGTCGGTTTTAAAAGGAGAACCAGCACGTCCCACGACGTTAAATTACCCAACATTTTGCCGCAATTCAGACCAAATGCAAAGACCTCGCATGGGCATAGAGGCGCCGATAAAATTGGTGAGCCACTTTTCCTTTCGCAATAATCACTCACGATTCAATGTGCCCTTTCAATGCTATTGAAGTTAGAGAATTTTTTAAAAAAAAAATTGTAAAACTCATTTTAAATAATAATATAATTCAATTATCATTAACCTTGAACGTTCGCTGTGCCATTATCAACGTAAGGATATAAGATTGGCTTCGATTAAACCGAATTACTGTTAATTTTATGGGACAAATATAAAAGGTCATTATTATCTATAATTAAATAAACATTTATCAACAATAAATAGCGCTATCTTATATCGACGAGACGTTGAATCATGACCTGCTCATAACAACTTAATAATAAAGTTTTCACACTTCTTTGTATACGCATTTCTCATTTCAAAATATTCGATTATTATTGCTCAAGTGTTTGCAAAATTTTTTTCAAGCACGTAATTGTCTTTGCAATAGAATGATCGGTATCTTAATTAACTGGTCACAAAAGAGATTTTATGTATATTGTCGCATAGAATTGAGAAGAATTCAACGGTTGTAAACTTTGCTCAAAAGAAATTCGTTCGAGTCTTGTCGAAATAATCCAATACGCACATAGATCGGGTGAATCGTAAATTTTAAATCGTGTATTTGTCGGGCAGATGGGCACGTACGCACTGCGCGCAATTTAAAATTCATGAGACATAATTTATTTAAAGTAAAGAAGGAAAGCTTTGATTATGAAAGACTGATAAGGTCGAGGTCTCGAATGATCCCCAATGAGCCACGTGCCATTGTGAGCGAGACGTTCCGTAACCTACAGCCTTCCAGGCAGCCCCCTTCCACCTTCCTGGAATATAACAATAATATCGTAAAATGGCAATTTACCTCGAGCCCATCCGGATTTCAGGCACACTGAGCGCACCCCCACACCATGGGACACGCCCGCGACCTTCCGCCGCTCAGCAGCATCCAACGACGCATCAGCATCCCTCGCGCAGGGGCCAGCCATACCCGCCGGCCCACCTACAACTTCTGAGCCCGCCCCCACCCCCGGCCCCCAGTCACCAGCAGCAGCTACCGCGCAAGGCGGAGGAAGTCGCCGCTACACCGCTCGCTCCACCCAAGCCCGACCACCTAAAGCGCTACCGTCCATCGATGACCGGCAGCCGACCCAACCACCAGAAGCTCCGGATGGAGGACGAGTCTCCGGGCGAGCGCTTCTCCGCCGAGCCACCCCAGGTGCCGCCCCGACCCATCATCTTCCCCAAGAGCCGATCCGACGGACAGGTGCCCCAGATCGCCACTCTACAGATGATACAGCAGAGAGGTGCCCTCGACGAAGATATTATTAGATCGAACCTGCCGCCGCTATTCAAGATCAACCGCGCAGACGAGACGAAGGAGGACGAAGCCAACAAAGAGGAGGAGAGTCCAGTATCCGTAAGTTTTCTACTTTATTCCGGCACGTCCAGCTTATCTAATTTCTAAAGCGATTTTTCAATCGGCCAATCGATATATCTTGCTTATTCTTCAACTCATTCTCTTACACTGGCAAAATCATAAATTGTTAATCAATGTTTTTTATACAAAGTTATAAAACTACTTTAATTGGTTGGCCTTATTAACTGTCTAAAAAAAAAAAAAAAAAAAAAAAAAAAAAAAAAAAAAAAAAAAAACCTTTGTTCTATTTTGGGGAGAAATAAATAAATTGCTGAACAATTTTAACTTTTAAATCTCTCGTGTTTACGTCACATTTCATTATCTACTTAAGCTTATATAATTTATAGAATTTATGATAAAAATCGGCAAAAAGCTCAATTAAAAAACATTAGCTTTCCATTTGAGCTTTCAATTTTGATAATTTCTAGAAAATGGTTTAATCAAATTTAAAATGTTTTTATCGATAGTGTACAAAATTCGGGAACTTATAAAAATATCTCGGTTAATATTTAATATTTAAAAGATGTTAGACTTTATAATAAAAACAAAATAAATTTTATTTTACGATGTTCAGTGGTTATACAATTATCAAAAGGTAATTAAGATGATTAAAAAGCCCGTAATACAACACGTTTTGGCACATGCAATTTTCCCATACGCACAAAATAACGAAATTGTGTATTATAAAAGTATTTTTCATTTCATCCTCTCCCCGCTCTCCCCCTGAAGCAGATAATCAGTAACGAGGCCGATCGACGCAAGGACGATGAGGAGCCAGAAATCCAGGAAACCGGCGGGGCATCAGAGACCGGACCTGTCTACGTCGTCTACCCGGTAAATAGCGCGGTAAACATCGATAACCAGGAGGAGAGTGCGGAACGTGATGAGTCTGTAGTAATCGGCACTCACGGACCTCAGCGTCCCCTTCCACCCGACACCCTCACCCATTACGACGAGGAGGGTCAAGGCGCCGAACAGAACAAACCTGGCGAGGACAAGCTGTCAGGGTTCTTTTACGGAAAGATACCGCAACATCACAATGCCGTGAACGTCGACTTTTCATCACAGGTATACGATGAATTCTAAAACATTTTATTCTTTAAGCCAAGGCTTTTTAAAAACGAAGATCTCGAATTATTTGTTGTTTGAAGTAATGATTAAAAGAAAAAAAAAAATATTTTTGTAATATTATTATTTTTATAGAATTTGAATAACATGTTTAAGATTGAATTTAGCTCTACCTTGTAAAATGCATTTTTCATCCCTCATACGTATAAATTATATCTTTGGCTTTGTTTTACAAAAATAATATATATTAAAATGTTATTAAAAATCTTCAATTTTCTATAATGAATTATTTATTTGTATAATCAATTGGATTTGAGATGTAATATTCTTGCCTAACTCATTTTGAAATTTCGATATAATTAATATAACCATTTAAAAAATTCTACTTTTCTGGTCAAATAACTCAAATTTAAGTCTCTCTCTCTCTCTCTCTCTCTCTCTCGTAAAAATGCCGAACTAATTTTTGTTTGTTCGTCTTTAATGTACTTTTATAAGTTACAAATTTGGAAACCAAACGTAAAACATAACACTTTCTTTAGAATTATGGAGCCGAGCTAGCCGAATCCTCGATTCTGAGTCGAGAGAAGCCTCTCCTGGTGCCGAGCGACGACAGGGACGAGGAGGATTCAGCACCGACAAAGTTGAATAAAATCACTACCGGCTTGACTCCCGATGCGAACATTATTCCCAGCAGCAGCAGCAGCAGCAGCAGCAGCAGCAACAGCGTCGGCGGCGGTAATGCCGCCTTCAACGTAATCTCGTATCTGCAGGATTTCCTACCCTTCCCCACGAAGAAACACCAACCGTCCACGATATCAGCGACATTACCGCGACTTCCCATCGTCCAAGCCTCGAGTCCCATTGCTTTCGTGTACACGCCGACGACGCCCTCGGCGGTTCACCAGCATCACGAGCCCGAAGATGAACACGATGAAGAAGAGTCAGAACCAGCCGAGCTCAACCAAACATACGAGCGTCACCGAGAGGAAAAGCCGGTGCTGCTGCCGTCTCAGCAGCCGAGCAGCTCCTCTTCCTCGGCACCCTCGCCCCAAAGCTTCATGGCTCCCTTCGTCGCAAGCCTCTCGGCGGAAGCGCCCGCGCGCAACGGTTGGAGCGTCGTCGTAGCAAATAGTACCGAGAGGTCGGCCGTAGCCAGGGCCGATGTACCCGAGGGCAAGGCCACGGCCACCGAAGAATCGGTACCGAGCACCGAGTCCCAGACTGAATCTTCCGGTTCTGGTTCCAGCCCAGGCGCCGACAGTTTCGACCCGGAGAGCTTCAAGCCTCAACTCTTCGGTGGTTTCAAGCCCATCTACGAGTTCCCCGTTGACGAGGATGAACACACGCCGATGATCGGCAGAGGCCTGGCCCCTAGCTCCAGTAATTCCGCCTCATAGGACATTGACTCATATCCTCTCGAACCTATTTTTTTTTTCGTAACTTCTCTTCGAGACGACGTTCCCTTGGGCATTTTTCTGAGGCTAAAATAATGGGGAAAAAAAAAACGCGGCCTCCTCTCCACGACGGGGATATTTCGTCTTTACAATAAATGTCGTTGCGGCAGAAATTACGCTTTCCAAAGAAATTCTAATCAAAGATAATTTGATCCATTGCTCCATATGGCTCTCGTATTGGCTATGGGATTAATAATGCAAAAAAAAAAAAAAAAAAAAAAAAAAAAAAAAAGAAAAAGAAAGCCATAAAATAGTGTACAGCAATTTTGATTATTCCAAGTACAATAATCAATATTGTAAATAGAACGTATTGAAACAAATAAAGTAAAGTAATATGCGTAATTAATATTTAAATGGTGTGATATGAGTACTTTAGGTACGCTACACCTTAGGTGCATCAGGTGACAGTTAAGTAAAAACATGATTTTCCGAGTCCTTGTGGTTATAATCACTCGATTGTTCAATTGGATTTGTACGTACGAATAAGTGAATTAGTACATGGTCGTGCGGAAGCAATTGAATCCGTATAAAATGAATGAAATGAATACGTATTTTCATAGTAATTGTAATATGTCTTGACAATGAATGACGAAAATGCCGACGAAAATGCCGACGAAAATGCCGACGAAAATGCCGGAGGGAACGTGGGAGACGAGATCTTGCGACGAAGCGCGTATCGGTGTACGGTACACACGCACGCGAAACTCGAAATTCTTCGCTCGGGCAAAACATAGATAGAATAAGATATCGCGCTCGTTAAAAACAATTTTCTCGTCGCAGCTACGACTGTGCAGCACTATTGTACAGTTTACGTTAACTAATATATATATATATATATCAATTGCACAGGCTTTGCAGAAGAAGCCTCGATTGAGAATGCTGTTCAGCAAAAGAATTTCTCTCGTAGCACCTTATTAATAATTCAAGTGCCTTTAAAAAATAATCCTTACTCCATTTACTATTTATAATAATTAACGTAAGGAGAAATTTTTTAAGAGAAATTTTTTCGCCGCAGGCCATGCGATTGCACGTTACGAATTCAGTGCCAATTGTATTGTTCTATACCAAACTATATTTTCTATACATTTTATACGTTTTTCCAATTTTCAATTTTTCTCTCTCTCTCTCTCTCTCTCTCTCTCTCTCTCTTTAACTACTATAATGCTAATTATTCACAATCATATCGATAATATAAATTCACGAGCATCCTTAAGTAAATATATCATCATATACATGTTCATATCACTAAAAGACAATGTAATTTTATGTTACTAAGTAAATGGTGCGTGCCGACTATTTAATGTTTAGTAAACGAATTATATTTAATATTTATTATACAGTTAAGAAATTATTCATTATTAATTAAAGTATTGTCAATCAAGTTTTATCTCCATTCGTCGTCTTCCTCATCTCCCATTCCATCCTTTGACGCGCTCGCTCACCAGATTGTCGCAATCGCCTCACAGTACGCGACTCCTTTCTCATGTTGAAGTATTGATCGCGAAAATTCGCTTCACCTATCGTACACGCTGGATCGTCAGTCTATTAAAGAAATTATAATTTTTCAAACATTTACATTAACATTGCATAACGCAATAATTAACGTGGGTAGGCTTAATATTAATTGAACTTTATAATGTAATGAAAGCCATTGAATGACAAGTCTCACCTCTGGCTCCTTAATTTTTTCGTACGTCAATAATCGCCTGCTGGTGTAATTACTGAGAATTTGTTCTGAACTGGCTACGAGAGTTAGGCATGGGTGAAATGGCAGCTGGTCCTCTGAATATTTACCTCTAAAATTACAATTTATTTAATAAAAGATTTCGAAAGGATAATTCATTTGGCTGTCTCGGAACTGGAGTAAAATATTCAAATACTTCTTTTTTTGCTTTGTTTATTTTTCGTTTATTAATGCCAATACTTTTCTAATAGTTAATTGATCGAACGAATTTTAATTAAATGTTATATTAGCTCTTGTAGCTCTGTATAAGCTTGTTAAATATGATGTTAAGACAAATGTTTACTACTACGATTTCCTATATTCGCCCATATCTGATAATTATACGTTAGAATTTTTTAATAAGTCCAATATATCGGAGCAAATAAAATTATTTAACATAACAATTTAAATAACGTATTAGCCTTTAAAGGAAAATTGATGAAAATGGTGAATTTAATGAGCAAGTATTTTCAAATTATTACCTAAATAATGGAAACCAAAACACCACTCTCCCATTCAATCGTAAATGCTTAACGGAAAATATTAAAAGATCTATAAATAAATGCTCCAATTTATAAATTACTTTAGATGGATAATGAATTTGATCATCTTCGATAAAAGGATTAGATTTTAATGTTCCAACGCGTTCTACAGCTTCACGAATCCCATATGGAGCTGCAACAATTCAAGCAAAAATTCAACATACGTCCTGTTTCCCTTAAACTCTTTTCACTTATATATTACTTACGATCTGTAATAATTGCATCTAATTGCATATCTGTTCTCCATAATGTTCTAGAAAAATCTGATACTAATACGTCTAAAAAGCGTGATTTTACACCATATTGTTCCATATTTGATGCTATACTTTCATCTTTATCTCGTATCTGAAAAGTATTATTTAAATTTTTTATTCTTCCATTGTAAGGTAAAGAGAAATTCACATTGTCGTCATATAAAATTTACATTTTCTATTACTCATTTAAATTAAGAGTTTTTTTTTAAAATTATATTAAACATTAATGTCCAATAATTTATTAATTAAAGAATAAATAAGACGGCTTAATCAACCTTTCGTTAAATTTATCACTCACTTTCTGCGAAATTCTCGAAGGCCTTGTACGAGCATGAAGCATTAAAAAATCTATATCGGTACCAAACGTATAGCCGCCAAATATAGATGCAATAATCAGCAGCGAGCCAGTGCCAACAAATGGATCTAAAACCATATCTCCTTTTTTCACTCGAGCCTGATTTGCCATTATAATTGAAAGCTGGGGATCCATAGAGGTGTTGCCTATAAATTTCCTTGATTTTAAAGAAAGTTTTTGAATTGTATCTCTTTGACCATCTGCAATCTTAAGTGATTTTTCAAATTATCCATTATTTTATCATAAATCTTAGTAAAATAAATATAATAATCGATATACCCATCGTCCAAAAAATAATTCAATAGGCTTTTCTGGTATTGAATTTGATTCGATACCATAGTATTCTATATAAAATAGCGTAGTGTCTGGATTTTTTAAATTTACCGAGCCCTTTAATGGCAAATAGTTGAAAGTCTGTTATATTACAATGGAATAATTGAAAAACATTAAATGAAACATCAAACAATTTACTTATCGAATAAATTAAAAAAATGATATAATTATCAAAAACTTACTTCAATTTTCTCTACTTTCTCTCTTTGTGTATAATGTTTACAAAATGTCTCAACGACAACTTTGAAAGTTGTACTTAAATACAATTCTATTTCATCTTTTGGATAAGATTTCAAATCTGAATGAAGAACTTCTATGTTTGTCGAACGCGCCCATAATTCAATACAATAACGAAGTAATACCGACCTGCTTGCTATTAAATAAGCTTCATCAGGGGATGATAATTCAACAATCCAGAAAGGCTAAAAGATACAAACTATGTTTATGAAATTTGAAGAAATGTAATTGTAACATGCACATAATGATAAATAAATGAATAAGCGAGTGTCATAACGAATGAATTTAAAATTTTAAAGAATATATATATATATATATATATATATATAAAACATTAGCTTACATGATCTGTTGACTCAAAAACAAGCCTTAAGGTTATTTTGAACATACTGATAATCGAATTCATTTCCTAAAAGTAAAAATATTTATTATGTCATTTTAAGCAAAAATAGCTTGATCCATAAACATATTCTTTAAAATATTAACTTCTTTTCGAAAATTTGCATGTTGGTGGGCAAACCACAATAAATATTTTTTCCATATTTTACTCATGGTTTCTTCAACAGTCGGCACAACATAACCAAACTTTAAAATATCCATTATGTCGACACTCCTCCCAATAAAAAAGTACTCATTACAGATTTATTAATGATCCATTAGAGATATACGGGATGAAAAATAAGTTCTTATTGAAATTCATTGTAAAATAAATAATTTGAACACTTGCAGAAGAACTTTTGTTTTTTTTTATATAAATTTTAATAAATAATAAAAATATAATACAATTTTAAAATATGATTTTATTTGTAAAATTATACATGCTTGTAACAAACTCCGTAGTTTTTTTGGTAAATTAACGCTTTCTACGGAGTGACAAGGAATTTCTTCGTAACCAGGCTGCCCTTCGAGATCCTCCAATTGTCTGCGAGAATCTGTGTCCTTTGCCAAGCCCACGAGAACTCCTACCGGACGATGTTTTACCGCGTAATTCACGGTGTTTGTGAACGGCTTGACACAGCCAATTAACCTTAGGATCGTTTCTGATTGCCTGTAAATAACAAGTTCTTGGTTAATATACCACTGCGTGAAACATTAAGAAACAATAGAACGGATTGTCAATTATTTACTTTATGTGCTGGATCGACTAAAATGACTTCATAATATTTGTAAGAAGAGTCCTGCGCTACCCAGTAGCTGTTTAATACTCTTAATCCTCCGCAGCGTCTTCCAACACGTTCCTAGAAACACCGATATAAATCGTAACGAAAATGTCATAACGACGCTTACACTCAATAATTCAATAATTAAACTATTTATTATTCAGACATCCAAGGAAGATAAATAATCATTTTTATCATTATTAGGAATGCTATCATCACATACAAGCTAATATCATAGCGATATAAATATAATCGAAATAAAAGATACAAATAAAGGACAAATAGAATTAGTACAAGTAAATATAAAAGTCATACTTCTGCAACGGACTGTAACTTTCTAGTAGGCTTCAGCTGGTTTACACCATGACTCTTAGGTTTGCCATAAGTTGCTCCTTTTGGCACTGGACGTTTACGACCACCACGGCGCACACGGATTCTGAAGATGACGAAACCTGTTTTAAACAAAAATTACAGACTGTTGAGTCTAGTCCCATCTTATCATCGCACTATGAATGAACATACTACGCTTTCAAATCAGATATACATAATCTCCATATATGAGGTAAGAGTGGTGCATGTACAATTCATCATTTGATAATTGACTGGGTAAATTAATAAAACTTTCTCGATAACTCGACAGGCATGTGTCAACGAACCTATTCATCGCTGAAGCACAGCGATGCTCATTTAACCGGCAACAAAAATTTTACTCTTGCCGCAACAGGGCCGCATACCTTGTTTCGCTTTGTATCCTAAGCGGCGTGCTTTATCAGGCCGGGATGGTCTGGGTGCTCTGTGCATTTTGGTGAGCTGACGATACTGCCAACATCTAACACGTAGTAAAAAACGAAGCACATCGCTTTGTTTCTTACGATACAGCTCCTGCATATATTTGTAAGCACCCATATCGATGTCCTGTAAAATAAATGTAAATTAATATCGTGGCGCAACGCGTGCAATGCAACATGCGCAGCACGAAAGTGTTAAAACTAAGGGCGATTGACCGGTGATTTTAAGTTACCAAAGCACAATAATTGAACAAGCCGTGTGAATTTTATTGAATTTTATCATTTCAAGCTATTAAGTGTGCATAGTGGATACGAAAATCTGTAAAACTATATAAAGAAGGCGCAACTATCATAGAGCGGACATATTTCTCCTCCTCAACTCAAACGTACGACAATAATAATAAATATAATGAGTAACTCAGCAGCTGGCAAAATAACGTTAACATGCATTATTAAATTGCCATAATTATGCACTTTAAAAAAATGTACCGTCAAACCTAACACAAGTGAAAATTTCAGCTAGGTTATGGATAAAAAATATTGATAAAGAAAAATTAATAATAAAACCTTTGTGATGAAAAAAATATAAAGGATTTCTTAATGCTGACGGTTTCATCTTCGATTTTATCATAATCAAATTAGCAAATAGTATGGCCACTAGCGGATGCTTAACGGATATTAACAAGTCGATTGCTCACCTAAGACGTCCACTTTTGAAGAGAAAACACGAAGCTTAGGATTTTAACAATGACTATGACGTCGTAGAATGTCTACCAATAGTAGCGGCGTTGGTGGCGTTGGTGGCTGCGGACATAAGACTCGAAGTTATGTGAATGTCGCTCATCTCGATTCTCGTTTCTCGATATATCTTGACTCGAGCTACCCTAGCCATCTTCAGGCTCGTCCTTATCAAAGATCCACGAAGTTTGAATAGATCGTGATAGGACAGGAGGTTAATAAGAATATAGTGTCGTCGATCTTGTTCGATACGATACTAAAGACAAAATTAATAAAAGTAAAGAGACCGGGTGGAATGTTAAATTCAAGATGGTTATAAATACTATTACGCTTACTATGAAATATTCATTGAATTCTATTATTATTAACAATATATTGTCAAACATATATTTGTTGAAAATTGTCGTTATTCTTAATTTGAATCGAGATTATACATCTAAAATAATTAGGAAGGATATTTCAATAAAATGTGCCAATAAATAGAGAGTTTTTTTTTCAATATTCATGTTAGAATGTTTATTTAATATGAAGAATGAAAAACTCAATGACAGTTATACCACTGATTGTGTAAGATATGACTGCTACGTTGGATAATAGTCGTTAATTTGCGCAATTGCAGTGTCGTCTATTCGGTTACAAAAAAATAAAATTAAATATAAAAACTTCATTTATTTATTTATTTATTTATTATTATTTTTTTTCTTGAAATTTTATTACCTAAATCATTTAATGAAATTAATTAATAGACAATTACCTTGAAATGCCTCATTCTTTAAATGTACAACGAAAATAAAAAAATAAAAAATAGACTATCTTTCGACTATCTATATTGTGCAAATAAAACACAAATTAAACACAATCTTGATATGTGAATGCAATTCAAATCTTATAAGATGCAGACTGTATAAGAATATCCTTTTTAACCTTATTGCTAAATTATACGATGCAAACAGTGAGATTTCGAAATAATATTAATATTCATATCTGCTGTTGGGAACTTAAAAGTACATTATCCATTACAAAATCCAGCATAAATGTATTGTTAAAATTTTCATTTTCATTATTATTTAATCGACATATTTGTTACATGTGCTGGCATTCATTTGTCACTAATTGTAATTGATTTTAAATTTTGTCAACATTCATTTATTCATTTCATCAATAAATTTGAACGAAGAGTCGTTGACAATATAAGTACAAATCAATCATAAAAATACACGATATATTCATAAAACAACATGAATAAGTTATTGGATAATATCATTGATGTAGTTTAGATTAGATAGTTTGGGTAGGGGGCGGGGGAGGGGGATGAATCCGAGAAACAAATAACAAATTGTTATTCCTTACATTATCGTTCAATTATACTTAAAATATAACCGGTCGGAAAATAGTATATTAATACATGAATATTGAAATATCTTTAAAATATTCTTGATATAAAAAGTACACGATTAGTAGTTTAACATAATTACTTAGTCGTTGAATAATAATTGCAAATATTGTCCGTAATGTTTTCAAATTTAATTAATGGAAATTGAAAAATTAGTAATAAAATAGTGTCACAATTTCGATTCTTTTTTCCACAAACTGTTAATCGATCAATTTTTAATCCAATTATAGCCAATAGTAGAAAATTAATTAAAAAAAAATTGTAATTCAAAAGTTATTTAATAAATAAAATTACAAAGAATAATCTAAAATTAATTTTATGTAAAATTGAACATATATTATTGGAGAATGGCCAAATATTTATAAATATTCCATATTCAAATGATTATTAGATCGAATAAATAATTTCAAATATCAAAAGAATAAATTTATAAAGATGTCTAAAAGAATATTTTTGTAAAAATTGCATCAATAATTCATAATTTTTTAATATGTAAAAAAAAAACTATTCGCATGTAATAACCCAACCAATCTTCAATATTTTTTTATTTATAATTGTTTATAATTTATTTTTAAATACTGCGCATCAAATAATCTTGTCAACTTTAAAGCTGGGCTACGAAGACATATCACGTTCGCATAAAATTGCCACTTAAAAATGCGAAGATGCAACTTATAAGGCGTCACAGTGTGTTGGTGCTCACATATATATATATATATATATATATGCAGTGATACCAAGAACTAGGATCACCGATATTCTATCTCATCCTCAGCAGTTCTCGTATTCTCGCATAAACCACTGCTGTGTTACACTACATAGAGGATGACGACGGATGTGCGTTCACAAAACTGTGAGCTTGTACGTGCATGAGTGAAAAAAAAATGTTATGCGTACGCGCGCGCGCGTGTGTGCATGTGTGTGGGTGTGTGAGAGAGAGAGAGAGAGCGAGTGAGTAAGCTAGTGAAGGCAGGAGTTGGCGGAGGAGGAGCGGCAGTGAGGGGAAGAGAGTTAGTGAGGGAGAGAGAGAGAGAGAGAGAGAGAGAGAGAAAGCACGAATGAGAATATAGAACATGAATGGCTTGCTTTGTACATAATGTTATATTATTATTGCAGATAAGTGACTTCTGTGGTTGCAGAAATACAGGCGCGCAATTTAGCACCGAAAATACTCCATATCAAGAATTTATTATTTATTATAATTTGAAAATTAATTATAATGTTAAACAAAACATCTAGAAATATAGCTTTACACACTTTTAATTACTCGATAAATCTAAACTATGAAAATTAATACATCTTGATTATAATGTATTTGTAAATCATGGGTAAATTGTACATTCCTATTATTTAATATTAAAATATGTAACTTAATTCAGTTTGTATTAAATATTCATAATAATAAGAAACTCGAATTAATGAAATTTAAAAAAAACCTTATCCTTTAAAATTGCAGATTATTGTTACAATGTTGATTTTAATAAGAAAATATGTATTCACAATATATAACACTACTTGCTTAATGTATACAGTCAATTATATTAATATTTTCAATATGAATTTATTGTATTGCTTAAAAATAAATGTATAATAAAAGTTGTTTGAAATTTGTACTATAAAAAGCAATATTTTATAATTTAATTATGATTTTTTGAAGATTCATAAAGGACAGCATGATATCCATTTATTTTATTCCGCGATTTTAATATCAAATAAGATATTCTATCAATGCCAAATTACTTTAAAAATAAAATTGAACAACTGGTACATTAAAGTCACGTAGATTTTATAATTACTGGAACACAATTAGAATATGGTTTAATTATTTACAATGTAAATATAAAGATATTGAACATTTCAAATAGTTTGTATTTCACTTTTAAAAGAAATTGAAAATATTTTAAATCCAAAACTAGCGTCACGAGTTTTAATAATGAATAGATTATAAGTAAAGGTAAATTTGAAATAAATTACATTGAATTTATATTAGTAGAAGAAAAAGCTTTATTTACATATTAAATATTACAGCTTTATGGACATAATGAACATTCGACAATTTAGAAATATTAATAATAACTGGGAACATAAATATTCATAATTATTTTCGTAACATCGTTTAAATTATTTTATATTTTGCAATATATTTGATTAAAATATACTATAAGCATAATAGAAAAATGATGGAAAATTTTTTTTACTAATTACCAATAATTAGTGATAGAAATAAAAGAAATATAAAAATATTAATATATGATTAATATTTTATTATTATTTTTATTTTTATAATTTATTTTTATTATTAATAAAACTAATATATGATTACTTAGAATTCTTATTATAATTTACATGCTATTAAAATGTCTCAAAATTGTAAATATCAGGATACGATATGAAAAAAATTTGGAAATTAAATTACTGCGAGCATTTTGATGTTTTATATTAAATGTACAACTTTATAGAAATATCATTGATTTTATAAAGTTTTTGATTACGTAATTACAATAAGGAAATTATTTTGTCTTATGCGAAGTTGATGCGATGCTCAATTAATATATTTTCCAGCACTTGCTAAATCCTGTAGAAAATACACTTTTGAATTATTGAAGATTTCGGAAACTGCATTTAAGCACAAATATTTATTACAAATTCAACGCAATACGTATTTAATTGTGAGACAAATATCGTAATATTGAACGTGGAACTTTTTGGACATTGTTGATAAATAAAAAATGAATCAATTCGACTAAACATCAATGAGAATTTAATTATAAAATAGTACACGAAGAATAAGAGTAATTAAAAGACGAAAAGAACTATTAGAAAAATTAATGATAAAATAATGTGGTATTTGTTATTTTGTATTATTTAAAATCTAGCTTATCGTATCTTTTTTTTTAGCAATTAGAACTGATTTTTAAGATAGTTTTATTAAAACTACAAAAATTTAAAATTAAAAATAAAAATTTATTCATTATGGTATTTAAAGAGTTGTTTTTCCCACTTCAATATTGTATAATAAACCAATTTTTCATTGATTGTATATAATGAAACAAAATTCCAGTAGCTCATGAAACTGGTTTTTGCAAACAAGTTTTTCCACAAGAATTTGTAGATTCATAGTCATCGGAATATAGAAAAATTTAACAATGCGAATGAAAAATTAAAAAATATATTTAAACAAAACCTACTTTTCTGCCTATGTTAATTTTAAATATAACTATAAATAAAAGCAAAGTGAGTGATTCTTAAGAAAGTAAATCTGCATAGAAAATGTTGTTGAATTAAAATTAAAATTGCTAAAAGTGAATAATTCTTGACGGCCACTGAAATGAAAGAATTTTAATTTTAATAATAGTATATAATTATCATATTCTTGTAAAGTAACTTGCTCGATGAAATGTAAATAGAGCAAATTAATAATTTTTATAAATATTATATGTGCGTACAAAAATTAGTATTATAAAAATTAAAATGTCAACAAAAGGAATAAAATTAAATGAAAATAACTATCTGAAATTATGTTAGGTAATTTATATGATAATTTCTTTCTTTCCTAAATTATTAATTTATATAATATATTATTGTTAAGTGCGTGAAATTATTAATTAAATTCTTATTTAACGACATATAAATTGAACAAAAATATGACGCATCCACATCGTG